AGCACGGAAAGGAACTCATGGTCCTACATCAAAACAAGGTGGAAGATGAGGACCTACACCCAGGGCTGTCCTCTGACCTGCATGTGCCCATGATGGCACACCCCTGCACACATACACAGGCACACACAAGTGCACATATATGTGCACATACTTACATACATATGCTCATAGTTACACACTCCCTTTCACAAACTCAAGCACAGTCTTCTACAAACTCACATGTGCACATGCACACTCATGTACTCACACTCACATACATACACAAATACCAATAAAGACTCTCATATGCAAACATTCTCACATACACCCACACACAAGCACATAACACTCACACACAAACACATAACACTCACACACAACTACTTTTACACATATTCACACACACACACACACACACAACAGAGTCCCTAATGCAACAGATGTGTGATTTCCCTGTAATATCTGCTGACACATGCCCTATTTTGCAAAATGTAGCTCAAATTGAGTTTCTGTTACTTACAACTAGATAGCACAGATAAACGTCAAGGGATAGCTATAGCAACAACTCTCAGACATAAAATGAGCTGTTTAAACTGGCACTGGACTCGAGGCACACACATAAAGGGAGCCAGGCCAGAAAGACAGCAGGCAGCTGCCCTCGAGGAAGCGAATTTTGGGCTGCATGCTTCTCTTAGTTGGGTGATGGAATTTCATGGTCTTTGATGTTTAACCAAAGGCCAGTTAGTTCCTAAATGTCCTTTACTGTCCCATGGAAGAGGGAGAGTGTACAGGCAGGTCTACCTGGGAGCCATAGTGGTGAAAACAGGTAGAGTTGAGACAGATAAAGAAGAAAAAGAAAAAATGTATAAGTGGACTGTCTTAGTTTCTTTTGTGTCAACTTGACACAAGCTAGGGCCATACAGAAACAGGAACCTCAATTAAGGAAATGCCTCCACAAGATTGCTTTGTGGGCAAGTGTTCAGGACATTTTCTCAGTTGATAGCTGATTGACGTGAGAGTACCCAGTCCACTGGACACAGTGCCTCACCTGGGAAGGTGGCTCAGAGTCATATAAAAAAGCAGACTGAGCAAGCCAGGAGGAGCAAGCCGGTATGCAGGGCTCCTCCATGGCCTCTGCTTCAGTTCCTGCCTCCAGGTTCCCGCCTTAAGTTGATATTCTGATTTCCCTCCACGGTGGACTGTGAGCTAGAGGTATGAGCCAAATAAATCCTTTCTTCCCTGGGTTGTTTTTGGTCATGGTGTTTGTCACAGGAAGAGGAAGCAAGCTGGGGACATAGATTGAGGACTCCGAGTCTAATGTGCAGCCTGGTAAGAGAACTGAGACAGCATGCATGTTGTTCATCGAGTTAGTTCAGGGTTCCTTGACTGTAACAAAACACCCGGGACAAGTGACCTATGAAAAGGAAAGGTTCATTTTGTCTCGAGGTTCTGCTCCAATGTCGGGTGACTGTTTTGAGCCTCTGGCAAACAGTACACCATGGCACGAGTGTGTGGCAAAAAGACTCATCTCGAGCCAGGAAGTACAAACAAGACAGGAAGAGACAGGAGTCCTACGATTTCCTCCAAGGCATTTCTCCAGTGACCTAGGCCCCTCCCAGCTGGTACCAGATCCACCTTTTAGCATTGCCACCTTGGGGACCCAAGCATAATCACTTGGCCCTTGGAGAACATTTCTCCAAACCACAGCTCTCATCTTATGTATTCTCTCCAGGCTCTAGAGAGAGGGATAAGAAACACGTGCTGTGCAAGCATGAGGATCTGAGTTCAAATCCCAGCATCATATAAATAAGTCAGAAATGGCTACGTGCACCTGTAACTAGAGCGCTGTGGGAAGCAGAGTAGGAGGAGCACTGGTTGTCAAACTAGTATCAAGTTCAATGAGAAACCTTGCTTCAAGGGCATAAGGCCAAGAGGGACAGGACAGGGGCTTCAAAATCTCCTATAACCTCTGCATGTGCATGGGTACTGATACACACACACACACACACACACACACACACACACACACACACACACATGCACACACACCTCCAAATCAGCTGTGAGGAAATAACCATAGGTCCTGCTGTGTGTCCTGAGCCCTGATGCTCTGTAGTTCAGAGTGCAGTTCTCAGAACCCTCCTGAGCTGGCTCCTCCTCCTTCCACTCCAGGCCTTTGCCTAACTCAGTCTGCATGCTCCTCTGCTGTGCCCATCTCCTCCTATAGGTCTGTGGATCACTCTCCCCCCAACATCCCACAGCCCATTCCATCCTGGATTCCTGCAGAGCCCCAGCTTTCCCAAAGAAGCCTACTAGCCCCTGTTCCCTGGGAATCTCAGAATGGCACTATCAGTCAGACAGGATCCCATGACAATTCTTGGTGACCAGGGGCTAAAGTCTACTGCTACAAGAGATGACTGACAGCATCTTAGCACAATTGACATGACAGAAGGCAATTCTCCAAAGGAAGAAAGGATGGGGTAGGTGATACAGTGGGGCCTCAAGTCAAAACTACCATGTCCAACCATACTCCATGCACTTGGCAAACCACCTCACGAGTGTTGACCATATCTTTGACCTCCTCTGACCCCCTTCTTAAAGGAAAGGGCCCACAACTTACCTCTAGCTCAGGCTTTGCTTCAGAGCAAATAATGGCTTTCACTGTGTCATCTGCACAGCAGGTCCTATGCTGTAGAGTTCTCTGTTGGTCACAAGCATTCATCTCCTACTCTTTGTTCCTCCTTGTCACTGCCTTAAGGCCCTTTTCCTCTGGTGAGAAGACTTTTGCAATGAACTCTCCTTTACTCTGTTCAAACATTTCATTCGATGAGTGTTTATAAGGTATCCTTTATGTACTGAACTCCATGCTGTCTTCCTATTCTCTAACCCATTCTACACACCACAACCAAATTAATCTTCCTCAAGTACTGCTTTGATCGCATCATTCTGGGGTTCTAAAGCCTTCAACAGCTCTCTGTTGCCTACTGAACATAGCTTGCTCTCATCAGTCTGGTATTCAAAGCCCTCCATAATTTGTCCCCAACCTACATTCTGGCCTTATCGCCTACTATTTCCTTGACACAGACTATGCTCCAAATGATCTGATCTATTTGCTTTTTCTTGAATGAGCACTGCTTTCCCACTCCTGAGTTTTGTCCAGTCTATTTCCTCTGAATGAAAGTGTCCCTAGCTTTTCCCGAGTCCATCCTTACTCAGCCCAAACACTCCCACCACCTTCTCTTGATTTACCTTCCAGGAGTGATGGCTATTGCTTTAGACCCCTGTAATCCTTTGTTTGGGGGCATGTGTGCGACCCTCAGCAATGATGCGTGGCCCTGAAGACTGATCACACTAAGATTCTACCATGCTTTCTACCTGAAATGCCTGCATCCATTCTCTAAGGATGCTATTGAAAAGGCAGAGAGGGGCATGTATTCTGAGATGGATATATCTTTGGGAATGTCTGTGCAAAGATAGCCTTTGGAATCTGACCTGAGAGCAGCCACCTTTGAGAGGAGAAGTTCCATGAGTTTGGGGAACACATCTCACAGGGCTTCATCACCATGCCCAGAAAAGCAAGTTTGAGAAGAAACTCCAGGATCACTACATTCACACTGGAGCATTCCCTCAATATCACCAAGAGGTTGGGATTTGCTCACTTTTTCTATTTAGGAGGATGTATGGTGATGAGGGATGTCCTTCTGTATGCAGTGAATATATGTTTCTCTTATTGGTTGATGAGTAAAGCTATTTTGCCCAATGGACAGGCAGGATATAGTCAGGCAGGAGGTGTAGTTGGGGTTACAAGACTAGGAGAATTCTGGGAAGAGGAACGCACAGAGGAGTCAAGTGAGGAATGCCATGTAGCTGATGAGGAAGAAAGACTCAGGCATCATCAGTTAGCAAGGCTAGGTGGAGAGACACAAATTAACAGTAATGGATTAATACGTAAGAGAAAGCTAGCCAATAACAAGCCTGAGCTATCAGCCAAACAGTTTATAATTAATATAAGCCTCTATGTTTTCATTTGGGATTAAAAGGCTGAGGAACCCAGCAGGAGAGAAACTTCCATCCACAGTGTGCAGAGACCCATCATGGTTGAATCTACACACATGGGTCATAGCAGAAACATTTCTTTATTCTTGGTATTAAAAGTTACCATTTTCATGAGAGATTTAGATTTACTTTTGTTCTCTGCTTACTGGTCCTTGTAGCTGACATCATTTGCCTTTGGTGTTGACTGTGAATGACTAATAATGAAGCTCATGGCCACCACTATCAGAAAACTAGTTCTCCATGACACCTTGGTACTTCTTAATCAATCCAGGATGCTACCAAAACCTCTCATCTCTGATGGTCTATTGCTTGTACTTATTTTTTCATTTATTTTGGCTGACTCTCTTTTGCTGTGTAGTTTATGTCTTTGCAAATGGTTTAAAATCTTTGTCTTTTTAAGGCAGAAGGCTATCAATAAACAAAATAAATAAATCTGCCACCCAATAGATGAGAAAGTGTTTCATTTTATTCCAAGGAGATAGATCAGTGTGGAGAATGAGTCCTTGGATCAGCGGTTCTGAGCAAGAGCAGAGTCAGAAAGAGCAGAGGCAGCAACGATGTTCTGAGGTCAGAGTTGTAGGAAAAATGAGAACTTGTGGAGAAAACAGAGACTGAGGGAAAGATGATGACGCTTTAGAACTGGAAGAGATGAGAGTGGCTTTTAAAGGCCGGAAGGATGAAAAAGCTTTAGAGGCCACATTCAGGGAGCTAACCCTGCAGTCTCCACCCCCAGGGGAGACAGGGTTTCACTGTAGCTCCAAGGCCTCTGTGTAAAGGGTCCAAGTGGGGTTCAGGAAGAGGAGGGAACTTGGGAAGTAGAGAAAAAGAGCACTGCCTTCCTGTGGTGAAGCGACGCAAAGTCAAGGCAGTTGAAAGCAAGAGTGCTGAGATGGGACTCCCTGAAGAAGTAGTAACATCTATGCCAAAAAAATTGAGTGGTGCGAGCCTGCCGCCCTGTCGCTTACCTAAGTGCTCATCTTCGGTGTATCCAGGCCTTCCCTATGTGGAAATAAAGTGCAATGTAAGTATCAGGAGTGAGAGAGATGGACAGGGCAGAGTGGCTGAAGGAGGATGTCTTGGCTTTTAAGAGGGAGGCAGGAGCAGACACTCACCTTAGTGGCATAGAAAATGGTTGGCCAACGGGCTGTGTTCCCGCTGACCCCTGTAAATGCCGAACGCCTTCAGGATGGCATGACTGTAGATGGCAGGACTTCAGAGTATGCAACAGGAGTGAACTTTCACAACAGGACCCAGGGTCCTACAATATCATCAAACGTAGGAAATAAGAAAGGTGTTTATTGGTGGCTCTTCACTTGCTCATTCAACACTTATTGAATATTTAATGATTTCTGAGCACAGTGCTGGGGGATGGAGACAAAAAGAATACTAACACACACTTATTGTCCTTAAGGAGCTCCAAGCCCAGGGAGGAAATCGATATGAGAATAAAACATTACAGTACATGGCATGAGGAGTCCTACAGTTACGGCTGGTGCAAAATGCTGCAGTCAAAACAGGCTAACAGGATGCAACAATGAACTCTGCATAATGGACCAGGATTTCGAAGGATGAGTAGGAGTTTCCCAAGCAGAACAACACAGGCCTTAAATAACAGAGTATGCCTTTGCAGCCCTGAGAAGGTTGGGAGTGGTTAAAAGAGAAGGCATAGTAACAGATACAACCAAATATTTGGAGTGAGGCTGGGAAGACTTCCAATATGCCATCTTTGCCCCTGTGAGAAGAGCTATAACTTCAAAAAGGTTAGAGAAAAGTAGCCCTGGGGCTGAGGAGCTGGTTCAGAGAATGGAGTTTGCTATGCAAGCACAAGGACCTGAGTTCGAATCCCCAGCATTCACATAAAAAATCCAGTTGTGGTTATGCGCACAAGTATCCAGGGCACTGTTAGGGACAGAGACAGGACAGTCGCAAGGGTTTGCTCCAGGTCTGGGAGAGACCCTGTCACAAGGTCATAAAATGGAGAATGATAGAGCAAAGGGACACCTCATGTCCTCCTGTGGCCTGAACACACACACACACACACACACACACACACACACACACACACACACACATACACACGAAAAGAGAAAGAGAAAGGGAAGGGAAAGTAGCCTTTGAGCCAACTGCTGGGAAATTTCCAGCATCTGCTGAGGCTCCAGCTTCATGTTACCATCAGAGGGGCCAGCCTCTTTCTGCTGTTTCAGTTCCCAGGAAAGAGGTAAGGCTTGGACACTCAGGATAGCTAAAAGGTTGACCCTGGGCACAGGAGAGATGCTGGGGTGGGCAGCAGACGCCCCGTTTTTGCTTGAATTTCATTCTGCAGTTCTGAAGAACTGGTGTGGGCCCTCCATCCTTCACATGACAGAAAGAGTGAATTTGCATGCCAGGAAAAACTGAAAGGCCGTACTTCTTCCTTTGAATCAAGTTGTTATTGTTCAAATCCATTATTAATGATCGGGGCCACAGTCGTTTATAACGTGGTCATCACAAAGCAGGGTTACCATTTACACACAGCTCTCTGTGCGTTTGTTATTAAGGTAATATTTTACCACGCATGCGACTTGCTCAGGGCCTGTATGCCTAGCGCTTGGCTTTAACAGATCCCCTGCTCCCTTCTTAGAACTAATCACTCCTTTTCTTTCTTTACAGGGTTGCCAGATGCCAGAGAAAGGGGAAGCAGGAGATGAAAACACGGGGTTATGAAAAATGGAAGCAAGAACACATGCTATATTTTCTCCTATCCTTTTTTTTCTGCCACTCCACAACCACCACCCCGACCACTGAATGAAAAATAAAAATGCAGAAAACCTCAGGAGGCCCATAACTTTCCAATTTTTATTTAAAAATAAACCTGCTGCCGTGGTTGTCACCACTTCCAGTCAGGCAACACACGCTCTGATCCCACTGCCCAATATTTATGTACGAGAAGGTAAGTGCTCTAAAGAGAAAAAATAAATCAGGTTAGACCTTACGGAAGGTGTAGGGGATTCGCTATAAAAGAGAACTTGGCAGCCAGCATCATCCTTTGAGGAACTCACGAGCCAGCAGATGCAGGGTGGGGGACAGAGGGACATATGTGGCCTATTGTTCTAATGGTTTCTAGGCTTCACATCTGCTTAATGTGGAGGCAAGGGGAAGAGACACCAAGGCATTGCCTACATTAAGGACTCTCTGTAGCAATTCAGAAGATGCAGAGAAGACAAAATAATGCCCCAGCAGCAGGGATCAGGCCTCTTTCTTCCTTTTCCACACTAGGTCAACCCTCTGAGTTTTCCCTAGCCAATCATATGACCCTGGAAATCTGCACTGAGGGCTTCAGGAACATTTGCTGGGACCATCTACAACATACTAATAGAATGAAGAAGGGACCTAGGGTAGCAGAGAAGATGGTACAGGCATTCCGGGCATAGGGGTAACAAAAGGGCATTGCTCTAAGCACATGCAGAAAGTCAACTGTGTGTCCCAGGAGAATCACGTGATCTGAGTGTTCACAGCAAATGAATGCAAAGAAGCAAGGCAACTAACTTGCAGCCTGGAGGATGAGCTAAGGTTGGCCTGATGAAGCGGACAGAAAGGGCAGCATTGCAGAAACGGGAGCTTATGCAAAAGTCCTGAGGCAACTAGGTGTGTGGCTTAAGGAACCAAGGGAGAGCCATATGTGGAAGCTCAGAAAACAGGGGAGGTAATGTAGGCAGAGGCCAAAGAAAGACAGGTATGGGATATGCACTGATAATCCCACCACTCAGAAGTCTAGGACAAGAGGACAGTGAACCTGAGGATAACCTGAACCACACAGGGAGTTTGAGGCCAGCCTGGGCTATATATGATAATAAATATTTATATATATACATATATATTATGAAATATAGCAGATGGTAGAGAACCTTGGGGACTTAGGAGACATTGAAAACCAGTTCACTTTCAGAACAACATTGTGAGCAGATATGGGTTGCACATAAAAGCCTTCTTCAGAATGGAGAACAACTTCAGGGACTGTCATGTGCACAGTAAGTTAGGGATGTCATGTCACCAGAAGTCCATGACGCCTTTGTCCATGAGTCTTTAGATTGCTGCAGAGACTGAAGGCTAAGGAAGAGAGCCAAGAAATCACCAGGTGTTGGGGAAGTCCTGTGCATTTGTTAATAAAGAATAAAGCACTGTCTGGCCAATAGGGAATCTAGATAGGAGGGACTAGGAGTCCAGAAAGACTCTGGGTAGGAGAAACACAAGAGAGTCGAGATGTAACGCCATTGGGGTAGGAAGCACGGAAACCTCTCCGGTAAGAGACATACTTAGATTAACAATTATGGGGTAATTACTTAAGTCAGAGCTAGCCAGTAAGAAACAAGCAAGGCCAACAGCTTCATAATTAATATAGCTTCCTGTGTGTTTATTTGGGACTGATGCGGATCTGGAACCAGGCGGGCGGGAAGGCTCCTCTCAAGGAAAGCTTCTCTTTAACAACCAGGAGCCAGACATTGAGTAATTCACACCTTTAATCCCAGCACTCAGGAGGCAGAGGAAGGTGGATCTCTGTGAGTTCCAGGCCAGCCTGGTCTACAAAATGAGTTTCAGGACATCTGGTGCTTCACAGAGAAACCCTGTCTTGAAAAACAAACATAAAATAAAAGAAAGAGAGAAAGAGGAAGGAAGGAAGAAAGGAAGGAAGGAAGGAAGGAAGTTTTTCCCTTAAAGTCTGTCAGGAGCACACTTGTAATGCTAGCAGGAAGCAGAGGCAGGTAGATCAGGAATTCAAAGTCATTCTCAGCTACATAGCCAGTTGGAAGTCAGCCAAGTCTACATAAGCCCTTTTCTCAAAAAAAAAATGCACACACACATATGTATGTATGTATGTATATATGTATGTATGTATGTATGTATGCATGCATGTTTTTTCTGTATATAATCAGAGATGGGGGTTAATGGTTTAACAAGAGAGATTAAGATTAAATCCAGAGAATTTTCCAGAAAGAAGCCTGCAGAATGTTCATGGAAGCTGATAAAGATGAGAGAAAGCCAGATAAAAGGTTCAGGACATATCCTTGTGTGTCTGGGACAGGTCTGCAGCTGCCCTTCCTGGGGGCAGGGGGCCACCCCAATCATCAGATGGAGTGTTTCTGCTCAGGCTGTCCCTGTCCTGCATGCCCTGTCTCAATGGGAGAACAGCCTCCCCATTTCAATAAGCTGGGCAGCCTAGGTTAACATGAACCTACCCATCTAGCACAAAGCACCCATAGGACAAGCACAGAAATATATGCTCGCAGGGCCAGCCGGGTGGCCAGGATGACAATGTAATGCCCGGCCTCAGGTCAGTAATGGGGAGGTATTAGTCATCTCTTCAGACCTCGGCTCCATTATTTTTGCCGGAAATGTGAGAACAGCTCTCACTAATAACGTGTGGAATCACTTCCAACTATTTGCCTTTCAAGTCAGCCTCCTCAGGTCGGGTGACATATCTCGTTTAACAGGGGTGCCATTAGAGGGAAGATTTAACGTACGGCTAAAAGCATTTGTAGCGGGAGCTGTGGGTGGGTTCCTTTTTAAGCTTTCTGTGGCTGGTAACTTGTGTCTCTTCCCTCCATGCCATTGGGTTGTGTTATTGAAGCCTTTTTCTTTTCTGGAGGAGGTTGGTCATTAACTCTCCCTTGCCCAGAGCATCCTTTGGCATGAATAGGGCAACTCAAAAGCTGAAGAAAAAAAACCTCTGTGTCTACCAGAGATTGCATAAGGCTCAGCAGCCTGGTCCTTATGTTGACTCCAAACATCACACCGTCTCACGAAAGACCCCTTGCCCCACGGGGTAACCTGCTGTCTTCTTACAGCAGTGTCTCATGGAAATACCTAGTATGATGGCTTGAATGAGATGTCCTCCCACAGTCTAGGGCACCTGGACACTTGGTCCCCAGTTGGTGGTGCTATTTGGGGAGCCTTAGAAAGTGTGTCCTTGTTGGAGGAAGTACATCACTTGGGAGAGAGTTAAGACTTGTGCCATTTCCAGTTCACTCTCTGTACTTCCTGTTTTTAGTTAAGATGGGAGGAGCTCTCTGCTTGCTGCTACCAGCTGCCATACTTCCTCACTGTGATGGACTTCTCTCCCTTGACAGCTGTAAGCCTAACTAACCTGTTTCTTCAGGTTGCTTTGGTCATGGTGTTTTACCATAGCCAGAGAAATGTAACTAAGACACCTGAAACAGAACCACAAATTAACCAGACCATGAGTTCACATATCTACTAACAATAAAATCCTGCCTCTTGTTT